AACCGACTGAGCCACCCAGGCGCCCCTCACAATGGAGATTTCTATTGCATCTAGAAATACTGATAAAAATTATTTTAATTGCAGGAGAGCATGGTTTTAGAATCCTTATGTGTAGAGACAGTGGTCCTGATTACCCCTAGATAAAAATTTGGGAAATATTAATCCATTTAGAGTCAATCTATGAAAGTCTCATCAAGAATAAAAGAGCACATTGTAGATGAATACATACAATATAACATACATATAAATTCTAAAAACAAAAAATTTTATCAGTAAAAAATTCTGATGTAGTACAAATTAAAAAATGTAACTACATGGTTAAAAATCAAATTCAGGGTCATGAGTTCAGCCCTGCGTTGGGCTCCATGCATGGGGCCTACCCAACAAAACAAAAGAAGTTAGGATGATGGTTACTTTTCAGGGAAAAGTGACTGACAGGTAGACCGTGGCTGGCCCTGAGGTGCTGACCGTACCTTATTTCTTGAACTAGATGGAGCTAACTTGTGGGTTTTCTGGGTGAAAATTTATTGATCTACCTCCTTATGATTTGGGTGCTTCAAAAAGTTATACATCCATTCTTTAAAAGTTTAAGGATGTTTTAAGTCAGTATGTATGTTATAAATCAATTCTTTAAGAGTTCACTCTAAAGGGGCGCCTGGCTGGCTCAGTTGGAAGAGCAGGTGACTCTTGATCTTGGGGTCATGAGTTTAAGCCCCATGTTGGGTGTAGAGATGACTTAAATAAATTTAGGAAAGGAAAGAGTTCATTTTAGAAAATGACAATCAGTAACATTAAAGAGACCTGAGGGACACGTAGAAAAAGGATCTAGAAGGAAAAGAGAACAGAGCACAGCATGGTAGCACTCTTTGCTTTTGCTCTCTGGAGCGCTTACTCGTAGACGCAAAATTGTGCTTCTATTTTAGCAACTTCTACACTGAGGCAAAGTGAAGTCATTGGAATCTGCTCAAAATGGAGAAAACCCTATATTATCACGTGCCCCCCTGGTATTTACTCAGATTAATGATGACCTAGAGAGAAAACTCAACCCCCACTCCCAGTGAACTGCAGGAAAAATGATCTTGTCCCTTAGGAAAGCTGTGGAGTACGAGAAATGGAAAACATCCCCACTGCTGAGAAGCCAGAGCCCCACAGCGGACCTCTAAGTAGAGAGGCATCCTAGATGCATTTCCTGAGGAGTTCAGGGAGCCCGAAGTCATAAACTTAGTTTGAGGTTTGTATTACTCATCTATTACTGTAACAAGTAACTCCAAATTCAGTGGCTTAAAAAAAAAGACAGCATTTATTATCTCGTGTCATCTATAGGTCAGAGATTTAGGAGTGTCTCACCTGGGTAGTTGCAGCTCATGGTCTCTCATGAGGTTGCAAACAAGACGACAGCTGGAGCTCGGGTCATCTGAACGTTTGCCTGTGGCTGGAGGATCCTGAGCCATGTGCTCAGTAGGTGCAGGCAGGAAGACTCCCTTCCTCCTCCCAGGGGGCCTCTTCACAGGGCTGCCATGACTTAGCAACTGGCTTCCCAGAGAGCCAGATCCATCACGTAAGTTCGGTCACAAAAGACCAGCCCTGATACAGTGCCGTGGGGAGCTATGCAAGGGCATGAATATCAAGAGGTGAAGATCACTGGGGGTCATCTTAGAGGCTGCCTCCAGAGCCTGGCCTCTGACCACTGAGGATCTACGTCTCTTCCATATGCAAAACACACTCACCATTTCCCAAGAGGCCCCAGAGGTCTCAAAATATAACATTTAAATCGTATCTAGGTGTATGTAAGGTAACTCGGGTATAGTTCCTTGGATCTGTCCCTTGAAGAACAAAGAAAGGAAACTGCACCGAAGGAGAAAATGCTGTCACCCCTGCAGGAGGCTTTGGACCCTTGACTCTAGAATTAATGTCTCTTGCTCCACCAGCCAAGCCACATAGGCCCCAAGAAGTAGCTTTTATTTGTCTACACAGATGGTTTTAGTGAACATCACTGCTGTTGATTAGTATTGTAAATACACTCTTGGACTCGGGGACGACAGCTGAAGAAATAGTTCCAAGTCCATGGGGCCGATTCACTGAACAGAAGTGTAGTCACGTACTCTGAGTGCTACTTGGTGTTCACTGGGGAGCTGTTGTTTGTTATGTTTGTTCTACGTCTAACAAACCATCCCGGCTTAGATAGAAGGGGTATAAATAGCATCAATACAATAATCCTTATTTATTTACGTTCGGTTTGTAAGAGTGGGACGCGAAACGTGTAACCAACTGATTATCTTCCGTAAATACTTATTAATACTTAATATGCTCACTGGCCACCTTTTGATGACTAAGAAAAACAAAACTAATGACAAAGCAGGAAAAGTGGAAAGCAATCAGTGGAGAGCAATAGTTGGAATTACTGTGTTTTGCCAAATATTCATTGATGTAAAAAAAAATCAACCATTCATAGGGAAGGGAATGTCCAGCAAATACGACCCCCCCCCCCCACTTCGTGCCCTGAACTTCACTAGTTTGGGGATGATTTTACCTTCTAAACGATTTTTTTTAACCAGTTTGGAACACCCTCATATGCTTTTATAACCGTTACCTAACATTTTTCATCAGATACACGCAAAGACTGTAATGACTGGTAATTGTAAACTTTTAAGTATTTTTTGAAGTGTAGCATCACACTCCTTTATTGTACCAAATGGAATCTAAAAACCATAGTGATTGAATAACTGCCAACATCCCCTGGAAAAAATAAAAAAGCATGCCCTTCTGTGACACTTGGAAATTTTATATTGATTCTCTTGCTCCTTGAATGAGTTTTATGCCAATATAATGTATGTTTACTTAAAGTCCTTTGATCATGCTACTCTACTAGTTTGCACCAAATATAAGTGTAAATATTGAAATCTGAGATTTTGCTGTTTGATGGGACCACAAATCTGTGTTATAATGAATTCTTTTAGTTTGAGTTATATTTGCATTTACTAGTAGTATGCAGTGCAAACAAAACATCACAAGTAGATAATAAATTTGAAAACCCCTTTACTGGAAGATTTTAACAGAAGTAAATATGGAGTTTGTCACCTCCTTCTCCATGAAATCCCCTACAGCATATAAAACCACCTCAACTGAAGGAATATTTCCAATTGCTCTTTTATTGGACACCCTGGATGGAAGGGATTTTACAATTCCCGAACTTCAGGTAGGTGGAAGCTTTTGAGAATTGACTGCTGGGAGACAGCATGATTTCAAAGAAAGCTGGGGGAGAGGAATCCAAGTTAGAGGAGGATATGAAAGATCTAAAAACTGGTTTAGGCTTTTGGGCTCATAGCCTAATGAGTAAAACTTAGCAAGAGGGAAGCAAGCATAAAAAACTTCCTAGCAGAGGATGGTTTCGATCCATCGACCTCTGGGTTATGGGCCCAGCACGCTCCCGCTGCGCCACTCTGCTTGCTGGTTTTGCTTTTCTCTTGTGTCTATTAATGATTAAGGTCACCTTTTCCACGCTGAGAAAATGATCCTTTTTTCTTAATTCCTTCCCTTCTGATCGGTTTTTCAGAGAGTAGCTCCCCCACAACCAGGTGGCTAAGGGCCGTCCCTTCCGGGGCTGCGCTTTTCCAACCTGCCAAAAGAGCGTCCAAGCTCGGGAATTTTTTTTTTTTCCCCTTAATTTTATTTGTTTTTCTGAGCCGCTCTTTGCTCAGAGAGCTGAGGAAGAGCGCGCCCAGCAAAACGGGGTGGAGCCTTTTCGGGCGGAATCTGAGGAGCCCGAGCCGACCCTGAACCACCATCAGCGAGAGGAATCCTGTTGACCACCGCGCTTGTTTCGTCTCCAAAAGTCTCAAGGACAATCGTTTGGATTAAAAAAGAGTTTATTTGCTTGCAAGGGCGCAGATCTTCACAAGGACAATGCGCCCGGGAAAGGGGGAATAAACCCAATTTACTGCTCAAATGATTACATGGCGGCCACAATTTCAACTGGATCTCGTTTGGAGCCGTTGTGACACATAGAGAGGAACCAAAAATGAGAAACTAATAAAGATAGGGGCTTCCAAACAGACCTTGTTAGGACGGCTCCGAACACCAGCCCCCGTTTGTCGCTGCCTCTCCGAGGACGCCAGGTCCTAGGGCCCGTCTGCACAGCGGTAAACCTCGTATCTTTACTAATGTCAGCTTCTGGATGACGCGCGTTCATGAGCTCGCTCGATCACACGGCTAGACCGGGGCTCGCACGCTGGTGTCTCCCTTTACTCCATTTCCCCGTCCGCAACTACACTGAAGGAGCGGCCTCAGCTGCGTTTACCTCTGCGGAGGGGTGGCGAGCGCAGCGGCCGGCCCAGCCCAGGATCCTTCTCCCATTCCCCGCTGCGCGCAAAGCCCTTCCCGAGACAGAGCCGGGGCGCGCACTGCACAACCCAGCCGGCGGGGGTCGGCGGGTGAGGTTGCGCACGGCCCTTTCCTGGTCGGAGCTGGGGCGCACGCGGTCCTTCCCGGGGCAGAGCCGGGGAGCACGCGGTCCTTCCCGGGACAGAGCCGGGGCGCGCACAGCACAACCCAGCCGGCGGGGGTCAGCGGGGGAGGTTGCGCACGGCCCTTCCCTGGTCAGAGCTGGGGCGCACGCGGTCCTTCCCCGGGCGGAGCCGGGGCGCGCACTGCACAACCCAGCCGGCAGGGTTCGGCGGGTGAGGTTGCGCACGGCCCTTCCCTGGTCAGAGCTGGGGCGCACGCGGTCCTTCCCCGGGCGGAGCCGGGGCG